CGGTCTGAAAAGCGAGGTGTGCTCTGATTGGCCAGCTATCCAGTGCGTTGTGATTGGCCGAATACCTCAAGTGTGTGACGGAAATGTTACGCCCCTTACCATACTGTGATGGAGCGACGAGACAAAAACATTAAAACCCATTATAAACGTGGCATTTGTTGCATCCAGTGGGGACATAATTATGGATTATAATGACTTATACTGTCTTTTTACGCCTTTTTTAAATCTCTTTGGATTTGAGACTTTAGTCTTTGCAACTTTACAGATCTTCTTTATGCACCAAGAGCTTGTAACACTCCAAAGAGAAAGGAAAAATTGAAATCGCATCATATGACCCCTTTAATAATGGTCTTATAGCATTAATGAATTCAGTAAGACTTCTTTTTCATCAGTCTAGATTTGATAACTTTAACCATCCATGCAATCCATGTCTAACTACCAAAATGTTTTAATGCAGAGACTGCATATAAAGGTAGGATGTGGCTAATGTGCAATTAAAAAATTCTAAATATGGATTCCAAGGTTAGTTAGCCAGGTTCATCACAGCCCGAGGAGATGCACTTTAATCCCAGATCTTCTCTGAGCTCATCCCTCTCTGGGGTTGAGGTCAGAATTATACTAGTTGTGTGTGTGTGTGTGTGTGTGTGTGTGTGTGTGTGTGCGCGCGCATGTGTGTTTCCATCCGCGACAGCTCAGCCAAGCAGAGGAAACAGAGTGCTCCCTACATTCATTCATGAGTTTCTCATGTTACGCTTCCATGTAAAGTGCATAAACACACCAGGAAAAAACTCAAGGGTGCACACCCATATACTGTACACAGATGCCAATGAAAATGATATGATAGATATGACATGACCATTGTGTATGCATACAAATAATATTTTTGTTGAACATTGTGAACACTTGTTTGAAAGTTATTGCATCTGATTTTTTTTTTGTGTGTGTGGATGTAGGCAGTTCCCCTCAGAGTAACCACAGATATCAGTTCATCACATTAATCATGAATATGTTCCACTAACGTTTCACAATCTGAAGTGTCTAAAATAGTATGGATATGATAGTTTAGATCTATTGTTTTATCATTTAAAACCCTTTTGTGTGTGTTATATCTCTTTAAATTAGCCTATAACTGGTTTGATATTTTGTTATCTAATGCAATGACATTCAGAAGTGTTCAATACTTCTTAGGGGTTGATATCATTTCTATAGAAGTTCCATTGGTCTGAACACAAGAGGTTTACAGCAGCTTCACTGCTCACACACACTCATACAAATAGTTCATAATCTGAGTTATGTGATTAGCGCAAATCAGTTCTGTAACCAGACAAACCAGCTGTGATCTGTCATGTTATGTTCACGCCAGATGGTATACAGTATGTCACATATATTACATGCAATTTATAAATAGGTTTAATCAGATTACTATTTCATTATAAATCTTGTGTAATCATCACAATTACTTCCTTATAACATTTTGCATTGCATTGCATCATTATATCCTGCTAAAATGCAAGATTTTTTTACCTTATCAGTTATAATCAGACATACTAAACCTAAAAATAGCATTGAAGCCAATGTTTATTTATTTAATTATGTATTTATTAGTAGAAAAGCGAAACAAAAAATTCACAAGTGGTTAAAATATTCAAATATTACATAATTAACAGCTTATTTAATACCATATGGTCACTGTAACAACACACAAATACATATAATGTAATCCATCACATTTTTGCACACTTTCACATGCTCTATACACTATATAAATACTCCTTATGCAGTTATTAGAGTTGCAGTGCATGGAAGAACTTTGTACCATTGTGCATGAATGCCACAAAGCATAATGTAAACAATAATAAAGGACAAATGACCAAAGAGATTCACAGTTCTACATAAATACTAACTGGAATTTGCTAGTGTGCATGTAAAAAAAACCTCTCACATACATACATATATACAGAATATACAGTTTAAAGATGCAAATAAATATGAATAATGATTATTTTGTGATGCATTGGTCAGATTATGTGATTGTTGCAAGTTTCACAATTACAAAGGCAGCACAAAGACCCATTTTAATACAACGCAATTGAATACAGTAGTAATATTGTTTAAAAATCATACATATAGGCCCGGTTTCATAGACAGGGCTTAGCCTAAACCAGGATTAAGCCATAGTTCAATTAGGACATTTAAGTAATTTTTATAAACATGCCTTAGAAAAAAGCATTACTGGTGTTCATCTTAAGACAAAACAAAGGCACTGACATGTTTTAAGATCAGTCAGTGCAAGTTTCTTTCAGTTGAAACAGCTCAGATTTACATTTCAGTCTAGGACTAGGCTTAAGCCTTGTCTGTGAAACTGGGGGATAATGTTTATTTTAATAGATTTTTCAAGAATTAATTTTTTTACTGCTACCATGTTATTGTCGCAAGTTTACTATTACAAAAGCAGCAAAAATTCCTGTTTAGAAATTAAACGAATACAGTGGAAATCCCAAATGACATCCCAAAACAATGCAGTGATGCATAACTACAGAATACAATAAACAATATGGGCCTGCCTGTTATAAATGAGGTTTACGGACCACTGACCTACTTTAAGACAATGAGAATCAGATTTATTCATCCTAAATCTGTATTCTGCTTTAGAAATTATTTGCAGATTAATTCTAAGCAATATTAATAAAAAATGTGAAAATATGCATGCAAATCCAATTATGCTTAGAGAATAATATTTTTGAAAAAGATATATTCAGAAAGAACACAGTAAAAAAGTACACAATGACCAGAGCAACTGAAGACAGACAGAAAGAGAAAGAGGTGGCGAATGTATTTATACATACTGCTCTTTGGGAAAGGTGTATGAGGAGATGGGGCATGTTGGGTATGTGAATATGGCTTTCTGGTTACCGTGCTGAGTGTAGGGGCTTTGGGGCAGGAAGGTCAGAGGAGGTTGAATGGGAGGAGAGTGTTGCTCCAGATAATCCTCTTTGTTACACGCCAAACGGTAACTCACGTAGTCTGCCGTGTTTGGGAGCTCATCGTAGAACCTCCCGGGGCTCTGTGGGAACAAAGATACAAGGTCAGATAGCAAGAACGAAGTAGGAGAGAATGAGCGCTGTGCATATTTAATGAGTGCGCTCCGGCACACGGCTGACACTGTCACCCTGATATTATGCATGCTGGTGCTGACACAATCAAGTTTGGACCTTTTTTCCAATTCAGAATACGTAAATGTTTCAAAGGTAGCAAAGTTCAAGGAAGTTATACGGAGTTATTGCTAAAACATACTCTGTGATAATTAACTATTAGGGCGAAAGTAACAGCGTGTTTGTTCTCTTCTCCAGTAGGAGGCGCTCTCTGCTCACTGTGTCTATGAGGCCAGAGGCAATTCAGGTTTATCATTAAAGCCTCAGTACCTCAATTCAGGTCGGTAGTCAGACCATGGCGCATTAGTGCATCTGTTCATCCGATAAAATGTCCAGCGCCCTCACTGGTGATTCTGTGGCTTTACTGAGTGCGCTCTTACCTGGAAGTCATCAGCTGCCTTCTTTTTAGACGAGGAAGGCTTTTTGTGGGCAGGAGAAGAACTATCTCTGCAACAATAGAGAGGGAGAGATAGAGGGTCTTAACTTCAACAATGCCATAAAAGAACTACAGGCTAGTTTAATTTTGTTTTTTTGTCCCAGAAATGTTACTAAAACCACACCATATCATTGAAAACATTAACCTATAAGGTTAGTTATAACTAATATGGTTATATAATTTTAGCTTTGGCATAATTGTTTGTCCAATAATGTAAAAGACTATGATGAGAATGTTAAAATTCATAAACAATATTACTTGGATATACATATATTATAACATTATATTTAATATATTTTTTAGAATATTTAATATATCTTCATATTATATTATTATATGTAGTTATTATATTTATTTATATGTGTATAATACTAATAATGTAAAACCATAATATATAATATATACATTATATTAAATACACA